AAGCTGAATTAAAACAGGTAATCCCGGCAGCCTACCATGAGTTTCTAGATGTGTTCAGCAAGCGGGGAGCTGATACTCTACCCCCCCACCGCCCTTATGACTGTCCCGTTGACCTGTTACCCGGTTCAGAAATTCCTTTTGGGCGAATCTTCCCCCTTTCGGAGCTCGAATTGGGAGCCCTGAAGGAATATATCGAGGACAGCCTCCAGAAGGGGTTCATCCGCCCCTCCACTTCACCGGCGGGGGCGGGAATTTTCTTTGTTGAAAAAAAGGACAAAACCTTGAGGCCGTGTATCGATTACAGGGAGTTGAACAGGGTCACGATAAAGAACCGTTACCCACTGCCGTTAGTACCAGAATTATTCCAAAGTTTAAAAACAGCAGTGGTTTTTACAAAGCTGGATTTGAGGGGAGCATACAACTTGGTTCGCATAAGGGAGGGGGACGAGTGGAAGACGGCCTTCCGCACCCGCTTCGGCCATTTTGAATACTTGGTCATGCCGTTCGGGTTGTGTAATGCCCCGGCCACGTTTCAACACTTTGTGAATGATATTTTTAGGGACTTCCTGGACGTCTTTGTTATCGTCTATCTAGACGACATTTTGATTTTCTCCCCTTCCTTGGGGGAACACAGAATACATGTAGCAAGGGTATTGGGGCGATTACGGCAGCATGGGTTGTACGCCAAGGCAGAGAAATGTTGTTTCGAACAATCCAGCATTACTTTCTTGGGCCTGATCATCTCCACCGCGGGGGTCGCGATGGATCCCCAGAAAGTCGCTGCAATACTGGATTGGCCTGAACCCACGGACAGGAAAGGCGTCCAACGATTTATTGGTTTTGCAAATTTTTACCGAAAAAGTTCATCAAGAACTTCTCGGGTCTGGTCTCCCCCATTACTCAGCTAACCAAGCTGGGAACCCGGTTCAGATGGACACCTGAAGCTCAGGAAGCTTTTGAAGCCTTGAAGAAGTTGTTCACCTCGGCACCCATTTTGGGTCACCCAGACGCCGCCCTGCCCTACATCCTGGAAGTGGATGCATCGGAGAATGCGGTAGGTTCCATTCTCTCCCAGCGGAAGGGCACCAAGGAATTGCTCCATCCTGTAGCTTTCTTCTCACGGAAGCTTACCCCAGCAGAGAAGAATTATGATATCGGTGATCGAGAGCTACTGGCGATCAAAACGGCATTAGAGGAATGGAGGTACCTGCTGGAAGGTGCTGTGCACCCCATCTTAATTTTTACTGATCACAAAAACCTAGAATATCTGAGAACCGCCAAGCGTCTACGCCCGCGACAGGCAAGATGGGCACTATTCTTTTCTAGATTCAACTTCCACATTACGTACCGGCCTGGATCAAAGAACACTAAGCCAGATGCGTTATCACGTATGTACGAGGACGCCAAGGAGACCCCAGTACCCGACACCATCTTGTCCTCGGGAAACTTCTTGGCCCTTCAGTCGGACCTTCGTTCCAAGATAATGGAGGCATCCACAACCGTCTCTACCCCAGCCGGAGGGCTCCTCCAGAACAAGGGGGGACTCCTATGGAGGGAAGATCGGATTGTGGTGCCGGAGGAAGCCCGAACCCTGGTCTTGGGCCATTGCCATGACCACCCCGATGGCGGGGCACTTTGGCCCAGAAAAGACCCTGGAACTTCTCCGACGCTCCTTCTGGTGGCCGGACATGGCTAAAGATTGTAAGGGCTATGTAAGGTCCTGTATCACCTGCCAAAAGAATAAGCCTTCCAGAAACAAAGTTTGGGGTCTGCTGCGACCCTTACCGATTCCTGAACGGCCTTGGCAAAAGATATCGTTAGACTTTATAGTCGAGCTTCCGCCATCACTAGACCACACGGCAATCCTGGTGGTCGTAGACCGCTTGTCCAAGATGGCCCACTTCATCCCGTTGAAGAAAACCCCCTCGGCAGCCGAGACTGCGCGAGTTTTCATTCGTGAGGTAGTAAGGCTGCATGGGGTCCCCGAAGACATTGTCTCAGACCGAGGGGTCCAGTTCACGTCGAGATTTTGGAGGGCACTGTGCAAGGCCCTGGACATCAAATTGTCCCTTTCCTCTGCATTCCACCCTCAAACTAACGGTCAAACCGAAAGGACCAATCAGACCCTGGAGCAATACTTGAGATGCTACACTTCATTTACTCAAGATGACTGGATGCCACTTCTCCCCCTAGCGGAATTCGCATACAACAATGCCCGTCACTCAGCGACGGGCCAGTCCCCGTTCTTTGCCAACTATGGTTTTCACCCTGTCTTCCTCCCGGATTTGGTCCCGGAATGCCCAGTACCAGCATCGCAAGACGTAGTAACGTTTTTCTCCACGAACAATAAGAAGCTTCAAGAGGCCATCAGTCGGGCCCAGGAAGACTACAGGAAGGCATTCAACAGGAAACGGAGGGGAGATCTTGTGTTGCGGCCTGGGGAGAAGGTTTGGCTAGCGACGTCCAATTTAAAGATGCTTTGTCCGTCGAAGAAATTGGGACCCAAGTTTATAGGCCCCTTCTGCATTAAACGGATGGTCAACGAAGCGGCCTACGAACTCGTCCTTCCTGACACACTCAAAATCCACCCAGTCTTCCATGTGTCCCTGCTGAAGCCAGTAATCCCAGATGCCTTCCCTGACCGAGAATCTAGACCCCCGGAAGCCATAACGGTCGAGGGTGAAGAGGAATTTGAGGTGGAATCAATCCTGAAGTGCCGAAGGAGGGGGGGCCAGGCCCAATTCCTAATCAAATGGAAGGGCTATGGCCCTGAGGACAATTCCTGGGAACCAGCCCAGAATGTCCATGCACCTAGACTTGTCCGGAGGTTCTTTCGCGATCACCCGTGGTGGAGAGATCGGGTGGGCATCCGGAGGTTGCCCGTAGGGGGGGGGGCAATGTCAGGGATCCCCTCGATCCCCGCCGCGATGGTCCCGGCGCAGGCGCAGTGTGCCGCCCTGTGCAGGGACTCGAGCACTGGGTCCGGGCCGGCCGCGGCGTTCGAGTTCGCGCATGCGCAGTAGAAGCCGCGGCCGCCCGCTGGGCACCAATGGCAGCGCAGGGCGGGATATTTAACGACCCTGAGCTGTCATTGAGTGCCTTCTGGTCTTACCTGTATCCTGTATCCGTGAACCTGTGTATTGTAAGTTGCTGACCCGGATTGTACCTGACCTTGCTGTATTTCTCCTGCCCAGACCCTTGCTTTGCCTGACCTCTCTCCTGAATGCCCCCTATTGGATTTGACCTGCTGTTGCTGACCTGGCGTGTGACCCGACTATTCTATGCCCGCTGCCTTGTACCTTGCCGTCCTCTCTGTTACCGACCCGGCCCGTCTGACCTTGCTCATCCATCCATCCATCCCGTGCAGTGGGGTCTGCTGACCTCCTCATATCAGACTCTTCCCCGTGGGAGCCCTTGGCGCATACCACTACCACTGACGGACGCACCCAGTAGCCACGACCTGGTCTCAGGGGGCTCCAAGTCCATCCCCACCATCAGGGGCCCTGGTGAACAAGCACCCTGGGACTTAGACTCCGTGCGCTGGGGACGCCTATTCAGTGGAGTGCTAGTGGTACCGCCAGGCGGTCCCTTACAGCGCACCCCTGCTGCCCTATAGCAGCATATCTGCTCCAGGGTGGCGGGAAAGCAGTTAAGTGAGCATGATCTCTTTATTAAAATTATTGAAGCATACTGAACATTATTTGATTATTATTATGATTTGGGGTCTTTTTGGCATCTGTGCTCAAGATTGCTCACAGTATGTAGACAATATTGTTTTCAATTAACTGAACTTTGGTGAAATGCAAGCAGTTACATGAAAGGCTTATCCAACTACAGTGCTTACAGTGGAGAAGTATGAGACAATTGCCAAATCTTGTGTCTTATACAATAATAGGTTTAAGTGGCAGCCGCTGAAACATTAACAATATTGAATTACATTATTTTGCCTTATTTCATGGCCCACTGACTATTTAATAACATTAATTATGATAATTTGAATAAATGACTGGACTGAACTGATGAAAACACAATAGGATTAGAATTACGAGAAACATTATTTTCTGAGGTTAAACCTGCCTGCAGATTGATTAATAGGCTAATACAGACATATGCAGAATTACATTACTACATTAGTGCCAATGGAAATGTGTTATGACATATAATAAATCTAAACTTTATGCTTTGCCAGACCATGCATTAAGGATTGCTAAATGTAAAAGAACATATAGTCAGGAGAGTTGTTGCCTGAAAATATGGTGTTACCTGGTACAGATTCGCATTTTAGTAAGTTGGTGGGGTTCAGACTTCACTCAGACTTTCTGATCTGCCTGTTCTGGGTCAGTGTCTCAGAAAGTATTGAAGCCAAAAACAGCCAGGAACGAAAGAAGTTGGGGGTGTGGGGGGGGTGTGGTGTGGGCTGCAGACTGTGGCTATGTTTCATGCAACACCCTAAAGCCTGGTACACACAATGAGAATATCGGACAAATGATCATCCGGTTTTTTTTAATGCTAGTCTCATATTGAAAATGAACTCCAGTTATGAAAATTCTTGTACAACAGAATACAACTTCAGAAGTGATGTAATGTCTTGTATTATATTGTAATTTATTCTTTTGTTACAAAGCATGGTCTTGCTCTTCCGTTTTTTTTTTTTCGGACGAATACTGATTAAACAAAAATTGTACAATCTGGTATTGTATGAAAAAAATGTTTGTGTTTGTCCCTTCGAATAATTTTGGACAAAAGCTGTGTACTAACGATCAGATTGTTGCACTATTACTTCTAAAGTGGTATTTTTCGTTCGATTTTCTGATTGTGTGTACTAGGCTTTAATGTGGGTGTAACATGAAACATCAGAAAGATTGACTTCTATTTTAATATTTCTTAGTCCTAATTTTAACCAGCAGGTGACGTAAAATAAACTTTTACACATTTTCTTTGACTTTATCCTCCTCGTTAAAAGTCTGTTCACAGAACTCAGTAGATGAATTAAAAAGCACACTCAAACCCACAACAGTAAAATGAATCTTTATATGCATTAAATCATGCTTGTTATACTCACTGTGGAACTTAAGGAATTAATTCTCTGCATTGTGTAAAAAAGGATGTTTGATCCTGTCTTCTCTGATCCTCTCCTTCTTACCATACTTCTTACCTTCTTACTGACTCCTGCTGCCTTCCTCCTGGGTAAATGCTCCTTTCTCCTACCTCCACTCTTAACTCCAAAACGCACTGACTCCTGCTGCCTTCCTCCTGGGTAAATGCTCCTTTCTCCTACCCCTCCACTCTTAACTCCAAAACGCACTGACTCCTGCTGCCTTCCTCCTGGGTAAATGCTCCTTTCTCCTACCTCCACTCTTAACTCCAAAACGCACTGACTCCTGCTATATTCAGAACAAATGGTGTATTTATATTTTTGTATATGTTGGCCAGTTCTCACCTTTAGCTGCACCCGTTTTACGATCGGTGTCTGTTTCCTGAGAGAATCATCCCCCACTCCTCATGTGATCTTTATCAGCTTCTAATTGGGGTGGAGTTGAATGCTCATTTGAGCATCTCCCTATAAATTTAGATCAGCTCATGGGGGAGATCTCTGATGGGGGCACAGTCTCTGATGGGGTGCTGCTTCAGCTTGAGTGCGGCTTCGAACGAGTGCATAGCAGAAGCAGTTAAACGCAGCAGTTGAACTAAAGCAGGAGAACTTAAGCAGCAGGAAGACACAACAACAGTAAGAAGCTCTACTGCATGCTGGAAGACTGCAAGCAAACACCCTGGGAAACCTCTTACATGCCTGAGACCCACTCTGTGTACCTTCATATAATACGCCCCTCTTCTCATCATATTACTACCCTCTGTTCCCAAATCTCATTTCTCTACCCCTCTGCTCCACCCCACAACCTGTACATCTCCCCCTCACTGCTATCATCTCCCTACTACTGCTCTCTTTCACCTCCCCAAAATGTCTCTTCCACTCCTCCTTCTCATTTTCCTCTCCTCCGTTCCCAAATTCCATTCACTATATCCCTCTGCCCCTCCCAAACATTTGTATATCGTGTCCTCACTGCTTCCCCTCACCCCTCTATGGCACCCACCACCACCTCCTCCTATTACTCCGCTCTCCCACTGACCCCAACACCTCCACTAGGAGTTTCTCACGCTCCTGCACATCCCGCTCCCATGCCACCTTTCTCACCCTTCTCCTCCTCCTAGCCGCAGGGGACATCTCCCCAAATCCTGGCCCTCCACCTCCCTCACCCGCTCAACACCCTCCCACTTCCACGTCCTACTGCAACCCCCGCAACTTAGTATCTGTCTCCCTGCTCCCTAAAATCTCCCCCCCCGTTTTCATGTGCACTCCTGAACGCCCGTTCGGTGTGTGCAACAAGCTTACCGCCATCCACGACCTCTTTGTTTCCCGCTCCCTCAACCTCCTGGCGATCACGGAAACCTGGATCCAGCCCACTGACTCTACCTCCCCTGCTGCACTCTCCTATGGAGGTCTCACCTGGACCCACTCACCCAGAGGCCTAACGGTCGTAAAGGTGGTGGGGTTGGTCTGCTCCTGTCACCGCAGAGCACCTTCCGAGTCCTCCCAAACCCCCCCTCCCTATCCTTCTCCTCCTTCGAGGCCCACTGCGTCCGACTATTCTCCCCAACCCCCCTGAAGATTGCTGTGATATACCGGCCTCCTGGATCCATACCCCGCTTCCTGGAAGACTTCTCCTCCTGGCTACCCTTCTTTCTCTCCTCTGAGCTACCCACCATAATTCTTGGGGATTTTAACATCCCTGTCAACCTCGACAACCCGGACACAGCCCGTCTCCTCCACCTAACCTCCTCCTTTGCACTTGCACAGTGCATACAATCCACCACCCACTCCGACGGAAATATCCTTGATCTTGTCTTCTCCAACCGATGCGCTCCCCACAACCTCACTAACACCCCCCCCCATCCCCTCTCTCTGACCACAACCTGATCACCTTCTCTATCTCCTCGTCCTCCAACGCCTACCCCTCCAAATGTCACACTACTACCAGCCGTAACCTCCGCAACCTTAACCCTGCCTCCCTCCACTCTGCAGCTGATCAACTCCACGACCGCATCCTCCCCCTGTCCTGCCCCGACTTGGCTTTGACCGCCTACAACAATGCGCTCTCAACAGCCCTTGACTCACTAGCGCCTTTAACCACACGCAACACCAGACCCCGACCGCTCCAGCCCTGGCAGACTGATCACACCAAAACCCTCAAACGACAAAGTCGTGCCCTAGAGCGACTATGGCGCAAAACCAAATCCAAACAAGCCTTCACCCGCTACAAATCTGCCTTCCGCACCTACACCTCCTCCCTCCATGCTGCCAAACAGGCCTACTTCTTGACCCTCATCAAGGCCCTCTCCTCCAATCCTCGCCGACTCTTCTATGCCTTCAACTCTCTACTCTCTCCACCCCCCCCCTCCCACCCAGCACCTCACTCACTGCCCTTGAGATTGCCAATCACTTCAAAAACAAAATTGACACAATTCGCAAGGACATTGCCGCAACTCACACGCCCTCTCAACCTGTCCCCTCTCACACAGCTACCCCCTTATCCCCCCTCCCCCTCGACATAACCCGCAGGGACTTCGTCGCTGCTCAAACTCTCTCCAACCCCCTTCACCCTCACTCAGCTACCCCCTCATCACCCCTCTCCCACGGCCCCACCACTGCTCTGACCTCCTCTTCCACCCCCACCCTACATTCCTCATACTGAAGCTCCCCCAACACTCCACACCTTTGACCTTACTACCATCGAGGAAGTCTCCAAGACCCTCTCTGATGCCCGCCTCACCACCTGCCCCCTCGACCCTATCCCCTCACAACTCCTACGACCTTCCTCCTCCTCCATCCTACGCTCCCTCACCCACATCTTCAATCTCTCCCTCTCCTCAGGCACTTTCCCCTCCCCTCTGAAACATGCACACATCACCCCCATACTTAAAAAAGCCCTCCCTGGACCCCAATGACCCGAACAACCTCAGACCCATCTCCCTGCTCCCATTTACATCTAAACTCCCTCGAGCGCCTAGTCTACACCCGCCTATGCTCTCACCTCAACGACAACAACCTCCTCGATCCCCTACAGTCCGGCTTCCGTCCCCTACACTCCACCGAAACTGCCTTACTCAAACTCTCCAACGACCTGCTAACCGCCAAAGCTAATGGACACTATTCAGTGCTCCTACTCCTTGACCTCTCTGCGGCCTTCGACACAGTCGACCACCCCCTCCTCCTCAAAAAACTACACTCCCTCGGCCTCAGAGATTCTGCTCTCTCCTGGATCTCATCCTACCTGTCACAACGCTCTTTCAGCGTTACCTATAATGCTACCACCCTCCCCCTCACTCCCCCTCTCTGTTGGGGTCCCTCAAGGCTCTGTCCTCGGGCCCCTTCTCTTCTCCATCTATACCTCCTCCCTTGGCCAACTCATACACTCTCACGGCTTCAACTACCACCTCTATGCCGACGACACACAAATCTATCTCTCAACCCCCCACCTCACCCCCTTGGTCTCAGCCCGAATCACACACCTACTGAGCGACATATCAGACTGGATGTCGCTCCACTTCCTTAAATTGAACCTCTCCAAAACCGAGTTTCTTGTCTTCCCCCCAGCCCGGACACCACCCCCCCATTGATTTCTCCGTCACATCCAACAACGCTACCATCAAACCCGCCCTGCAGGCCAGAGTACTGGGTGTCATTCTGGACTCCAACCTATCCTTCCAGCCCAAGTCCAATCTTTAACAAACTCGTGCAGACTCCACCTCCGCAACATCGCCAAAATCCGCACGTTCCTAACCCCAGAAACCACTAAACAGCTCATCCACTCCCTCATCATATCACGACTCGACTACTGCAACTCCCTCCTCACTGGCCTGCCTCGCCGCTGGCTATCCCCTCTTCAGTCCATCCTGAACACGGCTGCCAGACTCATTCACCTTTCCAACCGCTCTGTCTCCGCCCACCCCCCTCTGCCAATCCCTCCACTGGCTTCCGATTGCGCAACGGATCAAATTCAAAATCCTAACGCTGACGTACAAAGCTGTCCACCATACTGCCCCGAACTACATCACTGACCTAATATCCAAGTACCGCCCAGCACGCACACTCCGCTCCTCACAAGACCTCCTTCTCTCTAGTTCCCTGGTCTCCTCCTCCCATGCCCGCCTCCAGGACTTCTCCAGGGTGTCACCCATCCTCTGGAACTCCCTGCCCCAACCCATCAGATTTATCACCTACTCTCCTCTCCTTTAGGCGCACCCTGAAAACCCATCTCTTCAGGGAAGCCTACCCCACCCCCTGCTAACTTGTCTCCCTCCTCCACTCTTCCTACCACTCCATCCCCCACAGCTATCTCCTCCTGTGCCACCCACCCCCCCCCTCCCTCCTAGATTGTAAGCTCGAAAGAGCAGGGCCCTTGATCCCCTCATGTTTTGCATTGTATTGGTATTGTTCTGTCACATGTTCTGTCCCCCTTTGTAATGTACAGCGCTGAGCGAACTATCGGCGCTTTATAAATACTGTATAATAATAATAATAATAATGTCCCCAACTCATCTCCTTATAGAAAGAGCCTTAGGGGCAAGCTTCACATGCTCAGTTTGGTGTATAGAGAACTTGCTAGAGAGTTTTTTTTTTCTTGAGAGAGTGCATGTGATTAGCACAGGGCCAATCAGCACTGTCCAGACAGTGGGACAAGGTCCTGCCGTCTTATAGAACAATGATAGAAGAGTTAAAAACTCCTCCTACAAGCTTTAACCAGTGCTCTGCTAGACAGTGATAGAAGTCACAAGACTGCTATATACTGCTGATGAGAAAAGGTATTTACCAGTTTATATTTACTAAAATAATTGCATTTCCTTGGTCTGTGTACTGTGGAAGACCAGATATAGTGGATGCAGGGTTCTGGGTTTAGTAACACTTTAAGAGAATAAGTCAGAGAAGTGGCTCACCCCCCCTATCAGACTGTTGTAGCGAACCTCAAGGAAGGTATTGTCTACTGTACTGTCTTTTTAGAAAATCCAGAGTGCCCTAGAGATTCTTTGTTATGTATTAAATGTACGGTTATAAACCAAACAATGAGCACATATAATTACATAGATATAGATACGGTGAGAGATGGAGACCAAAAGTCTCCGGATCATTGATAGAAGGATTTACTCGTACCTCACCCCTAAATTGAAACACTATGATTAAGACCCTAACCAAAGAAAACTAATGAGGTTTTAAAGGTACCATACCATACATTAAAGAGAACTTTTTGCATCCCTATATCCCAGCATCTCCCCTGGTGTAGTCCATAGGAGGACCAGAGACTACAATAGAGGAGACTGCTGGGATGTAGGGATGCTGCCCTTTTCCCCTCCCTTGATCTGTAGGTCTTCCTGATATCCATTCAGCTATTGCTCTGGATCCTTTTTGGATATTTATTAAGACACCTACAAATATTGTTAATTTTGCTTTTCATTGTAGATTGATGGTTCCACTTGATTGGTGCTCATTGATGCCTTTGACTCCGGGGTCCTCTCCATCAATGCTTGAACCAGTTGCTCGGGTTGGCTTTCATTGGCCCTATGTGAAGTCATTAATATCACCAACCGAAACTTATACTTTGTCTCCCTGAAGAAGCAGGCTTTGCCCTGTGAAACACGTTGGAGCAACGAACAAAGTATTAATCTGTACCAATTATGCTGGAGTAACCAACAAAGTATTAATTTGTACCATCGATGTCAGAACAATCCAAAGAGTATTATTTATATATACAACCATGTCAATCTGTTATGTGTGTTAGTAGGCTATACTTTGTAGCACTGTTTGTTTATTGTATTTGGGCATAACATGCTTAATATGCTCAGTTGTTATGTTTCACCAATATGGTGGGTTTTTCTAACAAAAAAGGGTAATTATTATATATTTTTGTAAAGTTCTCTTTAATGTATGGTATGGTACCTTTAAAACCCCACTAGCTTTTTTGGTTAGGGCCTTATTCATACATATAATTAAAGAAGGTTGGTCATAATTCTTAAAAATTGCAGTAAAGCTTTTTAATGGACCAATATATTATGGCCCTTCACTCCACAATTATATAGACAATACACTAGAACAGGACCCCTTCCATACTTCAGTATCTACTGCACAAACACTTTTTGTACTGCCAAAACTTCTGCTCACTTTAAAACCAATATGTACTAATTATTTTATTTTGCATGTTCTTTGCATAGCATGAAAAAAGTGATGACAACTGGCAAAGAATGAACAAACAATGAAAAGCAGAAGGCACCAACCCTGGACTGTATTTACATTGTCCATTACTGTGGGCTAAAGCCTAGGCCACCAGGTATAGATATTGTGATACCTTTTTCCTGTTTTATTTCCAGCACTGATCTTCCCCTGAATCTCTATTGTAAAAAACAGCATGAAAACTGTAGGTGATACCATGGATGTTGAGAGGAAATAAGTCAACAAGTAACCAACTTTCTTTTTACTTACTTGGTGGTCTGTGCAGTTGAAGAGTACTTCTGCATATAAAGCATGTCAAACACTGCCCCTAACAATAGAAATCATATCATACTGTATAAAGGGCGTCATCAGTAATGTGTATAAGCACCATGATGTCTACATATGGGCCCTGGTCCCACCCAGCACCATATCAGTATGGGATCCTTTCCTTGCTTTTGGCCAGAAGGTATGTTGTCTTGAGGTCCACTTCCCACTTAGGGCTTTGTAATACATCAACAGTGAGTGCTAAGTCTCAGAATAGGAACTGTAGAGGGGGCAGTGATGCAAACAATGCAGCTCAGAAACACCCAACTTTTGGAACTAGGAGACCATTATAAATAAATGACCAATTAGCTGTAAAGTTTTAACATTGCTACGAAACCCATTTAGTGTATACATTGTAGACACTGTATAATGTGGACACTAAATTATTTTCAGATAGCAATGCAAAATGTATGGTTATGCAACCAATCAAATACACATTTTTACCTTCTAACCTGAATTAGAATAATGACCATTTTACTTCCAAGTAATGATCCCCCCCCTTATTCCTTTCAGACACTGCAAGTAGTTCAAGAAGAATAGTGAAAAGGGTAATTATTATGGTACATACTGTACATCTAACAGTCCAGCAGGGCACTTATTACTTATTGGGTACATTATATCCAAGCAACATGTCATTTTATCACATGCTTAAGGAGATGTCCAGACCAATTTTTGGCATGCAAGAACATTTATAATGACTGTAAATAGATGATTTCCACACCACTGCTGTGCTTATTCAACTTGAAAGCTCTTTTTTCCTTTGGTGTGATAACTGGTCTGAAAGCACAGCCATTCAGCTATGTGTATATGACAACAAAACGTGGATTCTACCTGCAGTCTATAGAAACTGATAAGTGTTTATGGAGTTCTTGGTCGCAGCAGTAAATCTCTGAACCAGTTAGACACATAGGGGGTTATTTACTAAAACTGGAGAGTGAAAAATCTGGAGCAACTCTGCACTGAAACCAATCAGCTTCCAGGTTTTATTTCCAAAGCTTAATTGAGCAAGCTGAAATTAAAAGCTGATTGGCTATCATGCACAGCTGTATCAGATTCTGAGTGCACCAAACTAGTAAATCTACCCCACAGTGATATAAGGAAAGTCCCATCCTCCTTTGTTCATGAAAAGCAGATCAGCAGAATGGATGTTCAGTACTGAACAGAACTATGACCTCCTCTTCTATCACACGCCTAAGGGTTAATAACTAGTTATTAACCCTGTCAATACAAGATTCTTTAGAACTTTGTGAAACTACAAATCCCAGCTTGGATGTTGCATACATTGTGACATGTATGGCTATCATTCCTTCTTTTTCTAAACTTTAAACAATATTAAGTACACATAACAGACAAAAGGGAGGATTAGAACAGTATAGGGCTCAAATCATTCAGAATAAGATGACATTACTCTAGATTGCATTTGTTTACAGTAAGGCTCCATGCACACTAGTTTAAAAAACGCTCCTAGCAGCAGCTTTTGAGCAATGTTTTCTGCTCCTAGAAGCAAATGGTGTTATCCTATGTGTCCATGCACATTATTTTAGTCTAGAAACATTTCTTTCAGCTTTTTTGCATTTTTGGGATTGATTTTCCTGCAGAAAAAAATTCTGAGTGCTTGTAAACTCTGATAAACGCTGTTAACCACTGTTAACCGCTGCACTGGTTTCCAGTGGGTTTTTTTTCTCAGCACGCTGGCTGGTGGTGTCCTTAACAACCAGTGAATAGCTGGTTGTTAAGGAGCGGGCTGGCAAGCCGGTTCTCGCATCCTTAACAGTGGATGAATCATCAGCTGACTGGTATGAAAAGAGTGGGGGCCCCCAAACTTTTTTTTCTCAAATTTTAAGTGCCAGCAATTCTTTTCTTTATATTCAGCTGTCAGTGGGGAACCCCGGTCAGCTACACTGCTAAATGCCACACAAAAACAGAAAAATGCCATAAAAAAATGATCTCCTAGTGTGCATGGAACCTCAATGAGACAGGTGAATTGCTACCAGCAAATAAGTAACTTCCAGGTAGTCAAGAACATGTTACATTGCAATTGATCTTATGGCTTGAGTGCTAATTAAACCAGGGGACTCTTAGGAGCAAAAAATCAGTTTATCACTATGAAGACTAATGCTTCTATTTCTCCTGGAGTCATGTACGTATATGTGTAGTAATATTACAGAGATAAAACAATAAATAGAAATTAAAGTAAGAATGGAGAAGAGGGCGACTAGTAAGGTGTTAAAGGTATTGGATTAAAGTACCCATACAGGGGAAGACACCCCAGCCAGTTATCTAGAGTGACATCTAGTCAACAAAAGACAATATTTTTCTGAACCTGAGCCATAGAATACCATTGTATTATGTACAATAATATATTATGTATAGATTATGTTTTTGCCATGTCTTAGACATTAAAGTGATGCTACAAGTCTTTTGAATGAATAATGAGATGTTAGCTTTCTGGGTTGATGTACTTTATTTCAATTCAGATGAACACAAGACCATTACAGAATCAGCTATGATTTGGCCATACATATTTGTTTGGTTTCATAATGGCAAAATCCTTTTCTACATTCACTTGTGCACGGTATATCTCCTACTATATTCCTTTGTAAGGACCTAGATAGTGTTATTCTATTGTCAATTGTATGCATGAAAGCAATTGCTTTCTGAATGTATGTCTATTTTTTTATGTACATATTCAAAAGAATGAGTTAAAAAAAAGACAACATTTAATATTCTTTGGCACACAAGACAATCTAAAAACAGAACATGACTGTCCTGAATAGCATATCCTCTCTCCTGTGACCAGTATGATAATTAAGTTCTCAAAAGGATGTTTTTGGCTGTGAAATATTCAACACAGTCTATGTGATTATTTAAAGAACCAGCAAACACAAATGCTCCTGCGCTTGGGGATGGACTCGATGCAGGCTACAACCACATTAAGAATGTCCTGGAACATTCACACCTTTCTGCCCTCAAATAGACTGGGGGAATCCAAATATACTGAATGAGAAAAGAACAAACAGAAGGCGCACAGGCCTAGTGCATTACCATAAAAAATGTTTGATAAAAAATAAAGTAGGTGTTGTACTCACAAACGACAATGTAGTCAAGGCACATCATAAAGAACATAGATCAAAAGATGCAGCGCTATAGAACCAGA